ACTTCATAATTGGCCTAATTTACTTTTCAAAACTATTCTCTGCCATATGCTTATGTACTATTGCCCTGTAATGGTAAAAGACAATTGTGGTATTATTGTTTATAGTGGGGAAAAATATAATTTTCAAAAGGGCAATTAGTAAATAATTGATAAAACTGCATTATGGAATAACGCAGTGCTAAATTTATTTTGCTTGTTATAAGTGACAGAATGAAATTTAAATTTGTATTAAACAGAAAGACACTTTGTTGGTACATATACCTAGGTGGATCAAGAGATCTGCTAGCTTATTGCATGACTAGATGCAGTTGCATTAAATAGTATTATCTGGAGAGCATTTCTTCTCTGGTTCTTGGCTCTCTTTCCTTCTTGTGTCTTTATTCTCAAGAGGTTCCCAGACTGTAGCCAACAGTGGTTTGTGTTCTCCTAGCTTAACAACTCCTGTGAAAAAATGCCTCTCAGGGATCAGGGATTTAGCTCAGTGCCCTGCACCTGTCTCATATAAGTGCAAGGTCTAATTCGATCCCTGATACGAAGAGGGGGGAAATACTTCTTAGAAGAAATGACTGGACTTCTGGCCTCGCTGAGTCATATGTCATTTTCTGAGGCAACCACTATAGCATGGGGAGGGGTGCAAGTAAAATTTCCTGGGTATCTTGGCCTGGATTGTGCGCCTGCCCCGGAACTCAGTGATGAAACCAGCCATACTCGAACTGCATGAACTGAAAGGCAAGGATGAGGGCCGGGTTTCCCAAAGGAGAATTGGGTTGCCAGTACAAAAATGAAGAAAATTGGATGCTGGGAAGGTAGGAATAGCAGAAGTTCTCTACATGCAGCTCTCCCCCCCACCCCACCCCACCCCCGCGCATACCAGGGATTGAACTCAGGACCTTGCACTTATGAGGCAAGTGCAGCACCACTGAGCTACATCCCTGGCCCTCTACATGCAGCTTTGAATAGACCCAGAGCTGGGGATGTAGCTAGTGGTAGAGTACTTGCCTAGAGAGTATGAAGTCTTGGGATCAGCCCCATTACTGCAAAAAATAAAAAAATTAAAATTGCTCATATTGCTTATTTCAGGGGAGTGAGTATATGCTAGAAAGAGGAAGGCAACGAATTATATTTCTGTTAACATACCTCTATGTTGTGTGTTTCTTGAGAATTTTATTTTATTATTTTTTAATAAGTTTTATCGCATTTTATCCCATTGCCCCCTCAAGCCCCTTCTGCTCCCTATGTACAAAAGCTTTGTTTCCATTTTTTCCTTCTATTTTCCCCTTTTTCTTGTCCCTTCCTTTCTTCCTCCCTCTTCCTTTGTTCCCTTCCCATTTAAATACTTTCTTTCCATTTCCCAACATCCATTATAATGTTGTTTAATTGTTGCCAGCAGCATACGTTATTTTTGTAAGACTAATTAAAAATTTAAAAATTCACAATTCAAAATCTAGCTGCTCCGTGGTGCCGCACCTGCCTGGCAAGTGCAAGGTCCTGAGTTCGATCCCCAGTACTAGAAAAAAAAATTCAAAATCAAAAGGTTACAATGAAGAGTTTTCCTCTTTGGAGTATTATGGTATTCAACAATTAGTTTTTGGTAGTATTAGTGATATGATATAATAGCTGACATTTCCTGGGTGCTTTACGTCAGACAAACTGTGCACATTATATAAATTCTCATGTAACCCTCACAATAACTTCCTCAGGTAATATCATTACCAGTAACTCATGTGAAGCCTGGCGTGGTGGTGCACGCCTGTAATCCCAGCGCTTGGGAGGCTGAGGCAGGAGGATCGCTGCAAGTTCAAGACCAGCCTGGGCTACATAGTGAGTTTCAGAGGACTCTGAACTACATAGTGAGACCCTGTCTCAAAAACCAAAAAAAAAAAAACCAGTTACTGATGTGCATAAACTGAAACCCAAGCATAGCTATCAGAGTGACCTGGAGAATTAAACATATCCCAGCCCCCACCAGCCACTGAATCAAAGTCTCAGAGGCAAGAGCTATTCTGTGAATTCAACAGGCTCCTCAGATGATTTATTTGTAGTCAGTTTATTATTGAAGTGTGTTTGGGAACCCTGCTGAGTCATATATTTAACCCCTGGTAGCATAACTAGTAAAAATCAGAACTGGTGTCACACTTGGAAGGCTGAGGTAGGATTTACTGTGAGTTCAAGGTCAGCCTGATTTACATATTGGAGGCCAGTCTGAACTACATAATGAGAGCTTGTCTCAAGAAACAAAACAAAGTATCAGAACTGGATCAAAATCTAAACCAGGATGGGGATTTAACTCAATGGTTCCAACCGCCTGCCTTGCAAGTGCAAAGTCCTGAGTTTGATCCCTGGTACAAAAAAAAAAAAAAAACCTAAGCCAAAGCCCCTAATGACTGTACATTAATAACATAGTCTCTTAGTTACTAAGTTTTGGGGGTTAAATCGTCCTTTGTAGATAAGCATGAAAATTATACCAAAAGTTTATGAAACATATTTCTTTGGGGAAAACAAGTTCTGAATTCCAAGGATCTGATTTTCAAATGATCCTATGAAATACAAGGCAGAGTTTGCTCAAAATAAAATAATCTCATCATTGGAGTAAAAACATGCATTAGCAAGTTTAACAGGTTGGCACCTTTTTTAGTGGAATGTCGTATAGTATTACACATTCATGAAATGCGCTAGTACAAATAAGTGTATTGTTTTGTAAAGGTCTGCCATTTCTCTTTATCATATTAGCACTCTTTGTGCTATAACTAAAAACAAACTTCCCCACCACCCTTCTTTATCCTCCTCCTTTACCCTATGTAATTTTTTTCTCTTATACTATTTTTTTTTTCCAGTACCAGGGATTGAATTCAGGACCTTGAGCTTGCAAGGCAGGAGTGGCACAACTGAGCTAAATCCCCTGCCCTCTGTTATGCTTTTGATATAAACATTTGAGTTTCAGGGTTACAAACACTAAAAGGCAAATGTGGTATTTTGCTCATTTTGGCATTTAATAGAATAGTGCACACTTTTCTTTTTTAAGTAAGGAAGCTACCATTTCAAGGTAATACTTAAACTTACACACTTAAAATTTTCAAACAACCAGATTACACTAGGATACTGATAATTCACATAGTAAATTGAAATTATTTACTCTCCTAATTTGCTTGTTGTTCAGCAGATAATAGAATGGAGATAAAAATGCAGACAGTTCAAATTTGTTTCAAAATTTGAGTACCCAAAAAACAGCAAAAATATTACATAGAGAGTGAATGTTAAACTTTGGATTGAGTATTGTGCTACCATTTGTCACAGTCTTTGCAGTCGTATTTCTGGCTGTCACTAAGGTCACTGTTGATTTCCAAGCTGTCTTGTAACTTGAGGTCATCGCAGAAGTCAGAGTCATCCTGGCATTCACTACTGTCGTGAGATTTAGCCTTTCAGATTTGAAGGTAGATCTTGCCTTGGTCCTGGGGTTTAGGTTCGTCCTGGAATTCAGATTCATGCTGGTACTGGAGACTTCCTTAGAATTTGAGGTTGTTGATGTTGAAATTGCTCCCAAAATGTGAACAAACACGAGGAGCAGACTGATGATGAATGATAGGTTGAACATCATTTTCCCCTGTGTTAAAACAATTATGTAAATGTAATTTAACGTTTGGATCACAAATAGGCAAGCATATATTCTCATTTTGTTTATTTAGAACATCCATGTTATGTAAATGTGTCTTTTCATTGTTACTAGTGAGCAAATGAAAAGTTTCTCAGTATCTGCTAAATGTAAGATTTTTTCTATCTAGGTTCACCAAATTCAGGCATTACCAATTTAAAGTCTAAAACAGCTTAATTTGATTTTTCTATTTTAATAAAAGGAAAAAAATTAATGTCTATACAATAAGTGTAGGGGCTTAAGATAAATACACAGAATGGGATAGGAGCAAATCGTGATAGTTCTGGAGAGTACAGTAACAAAGTAAGTAATGAAATAAATATTGACTTTAACCTTCTCATGACTTTTATTCCAACAATTTAAGAGTTAAGCGTAGATCACAAATTAAGATATTACTTGTAAATGTTTATACCAAAGATTAAAAGACGTTAAACTAAGTGATTTCTCCAATGCTAGGGTTTCCCTCATTTTCCCTCTTTAAAACAGCTTTTAGAGAATGTCATAGCTTTTAAAATAGAAAGAAATTTAAAATTGATCAGAATCAGTCCTTTCACTATATAACCCAGCACATACCAGGGTCTATGCTTTATGTGATGATGCATATTCAAAAATGACTAGAACTAGATCTTGAATCTGAGTTTAATCTGGTGTCCTTTTCTGGATGTGGACTGAAAAGACAGTTTATTAATGTAGTAAATTATTTTAAAAATAAGCCTGATTTTCTTTTAGTCTGTATTCTGATCTAATGGCTTGCCACATCAGAGATAATTCAACTAGTACATGTTTGTCATGATTAAATATTATAATCTTTTTAACTTAAAAGCTCAAAATTTTAAATTTAGAAATCTAGCATATACTAGAAGTTACATTTGGCTCCAATATGTAATTGAGAAAATTTCATGTTATTATTACCTTTTGATTTTGAAGATTGGGAATTCAGTCTTTCTCTAGTGTTGTAGAGAATCAGACTCTGACCAGGAATCTGATTTCTCACTCACTACATGCTGTTTAAATATAATTAGTGAGGCAGTCACATGTTTTAAACTTGACCTGCCATTTGCTCTTTGGAGTTAACCAACTGAATGTTTTCTAGACAACTGGTGTAAACTGGACTTTGGCAGAGATTAAGGAATTCAAATAGTTGTTCTAAAATCTTCTCACTTATTTAAAAAAATCCAGCAAGTAACATTTTGGTGTTCCTCTTATCTACACATTATATATTAATTTTTTTTTCCCACTGGGTTAACTGTGCTTGGATAAATAAAAAAATTTTTTTTAAATAATTTAAGAATATTACATTCTAGGAGTTTGCTTTTTGGTAAATAGTGTTTCAGAAAAGAAGTAAGCTGTATTTATATGAAATTTAAGAACTACATATGAAAGCAATAATTTCATGCTGAGTTTTCAAAGATACTTGTGAAAAGTTTTCAATTAGCAATAATCGCGCCTCGGATAAACCTCATTGGCTACGATACTGCCACTGCGCAAAGCTCAAAGATACTTGTGTTGGTATTGTTGTTTGTTTGTTTGTTTTTTAATAAACCACTTACCTTGAAGATATTAAGTAAATTCTTTAAAGAAATTTTGTGTTTTGGTCAGTCTCTTTCCTTGATACCCAGCATACAAGGAAGTTAAGCTGCTTTCAAAACATTGGCCAGCACTTTCTAAGTGTTGCAGGGCTGTGAACAATGGTGTTAGCATACAAGGAAATTGCTACATAAATGGCAAAAGCACAAGTCAGTACATGTTCCTTAGTTGTTTCACTTGGCTGTGAAGATTCTTTTTTCTGAACGCATGAATAGAATAAATATGTGCTAAATCTTAATTTATATAACACATATAACAACCTCACTTAGCTGGAGATTAGTATGGTCAGACCTAAGAAATAAACAAAGAAGCCTCTTGGCAACCCAGTAGAAATATTCTAAATGAGAGTAAGCACAAGAGTTTGGTACTGTGCTTTATTTACTTTCTCCCTCTTAGGGGTGATATAGTTGATAGACATAGTAATATTTTGGCCTGGAGCTATGACTTATTTTGATTTTTTGATCCTGACCTTTCAATTACTAGACTTAGACAGCTCTTTATTGTACCTCAGATAACTCTCACCTTATTTAAAAATAAGTATTTTCTTATTCCTATTCTTGGATCCAGATTTATTCTTCTTGTTATCTCTTAATTACAGCATCACCTAGCCAAATGGCTCTCCAACCTTGTATTTTTCATTATCTGATGATTAAGTAAAATTTAAAATTCTCAAGTTTCGAGCACTCAGATGCTACCAAACAAAAATCACTTGCCATTGCCCAGGCCTTTAACAATATCACATTGTATCTTTGTGCAGCCCTTTTCTTCTGCCCAGAGTACTTCCTTTCCTTGTTCAAAATTCTGTCCTACCATCAAGGTCTAACTCTGATGCCAGCATCTTTTAGGGGTGAGCCTTTCCTAATTCTACATTTCAGAATTAGTCATTTTAGGGCTTTCTTAAATCTTTGTTTCATCATATTCTGGCATTCTGGTCATCAGGCACACCTCTTATCTTTGTATTCTGTCTTCTAGCATAGTGAGTGTTTATAAAGCATAGGCCACAATAAATTGAAATTCATTGAAAACTTCCAGTTTCTCCATGTCTTGAGGGCTGATACCATTTATGATGCCTAACATAAGAGACATTTTAGCACTTTTCTCTGCATCATAAGCATAAATCTGCAAGTCATAAGCCCACATCTAAAATCCCATTTCTACTTCCTGGCTCCTATTTTTGTGGATCATATGCACATTCATAATCCATTATCTGCAATTCTGAAATTGAAAATCCTCTGAAAAACTAAAGTTGTGTCTAAATAAGTTTGGCACCAAATTTTATTTAGAACACTTTATACTTGGGTTGGTGTGAAGTTTTTCACTCTTCACTGGAGAAATACTATTACAGTCAATTATGAGATGCTGTCTCAGTTTCCCTTGGGGTCTTACACACCACATTAGAGGCATGTACTTATATTCGTGCTTCTCCTTCTGGGCACATCACAATACCACTTCGTCCTTGTAGTTAGCAGTCCCTTGTTACTGAGTTCTGGTTAGTAAAATACAGGTTGCAGTGATGTTTATCACTTCCAGGCCTGATGTCTTAACTTCGCACCAGTCATCCATTCTTGCTTTCTTCTGTCACTGCCTACTAGAAACAGAAGGTTCAGTAGAGGGATTTCTAAGGCCCTAGAAGATGGTAGTATTAGCTGGGCATGATAGAACATGCCCACTGTAGTCCCAGCACTTGGGAACTGAGGAAGGAGGCTCACTGCAAATTTGAGGCCAGCCTAGGCTACATAGCAAGACCCTGTCTTAAAAAACAACAAAAAGGTAAAATCATGAGACAACAGAAGTGAAAGATAAACTTTTGTTGTCTTAGCCAGTGGTATTTTGGTATTACTTGTGACAAAAATTAGTCTACACTATTGCAATATGCACTATTGTCTTTCTAAAATCTGAACAATTCTGAATTCAGAAATATCTTCCCCTAAGAGTTTCAAATAAGAGATTATAGCCATACCACATTTGTAAATATTCTTGTATTTAGAACTGAGGCTTGGAGACTAGAAAGCATTTATAAGAATAGTGTCTTTATGTATTTAAATTTCCTTCAAATGACCCATTTTGACATGTTTCTAGAGAATTTTTTATCTGCCTTTATATAGGATTATTCTAAAACTTCTAAGAAAATAGAGAAAAATAATCTCATTAACAAAATCATCTAAATGATAGTGACTTTTCTTTCTTTCTTTTTTTTTTTTTGGAGATAGTCTCACTATGTAGTTCAGGCCAACCTTGACTCACTATATAGCCCAGGGTGGCCTCAAACTTGGGGCAGTCCTCCTGCCTCAGCCTCCTTGGTGCTGGGATTACAGGCAGGTGTTACTATTCCCCTACTTGTGGACAATTACTGTTTAAGGGATGGTTTGGAAGCTTCCTGAGATGGTACATATGCAACTATACAAAAAGATAGGCTGTTGTTAAGTCAGGCTTAAACCTGATAACCTGTACAGAAAGTATCATTTTTCTTCTACAATAAAATATCAGCTTCTTCATTTTAGAAATCTCATACAGGGGCCAGGAATTTAGCTCAGTGGTTCTGCCTGCCTCCTGCCTCGTAAGTGCAAGGACCTGAGTTTGATCCCTGGTACCAAAAAAAAAAAAAAAAAAAAAAAAAAAAAACATACAGGAAAAGGAGCATCCCTTAAATTACAAAACACGTGTTCCAAGGCAAGTGCCCCTCTTTGAGTAAGTTTGTTTTCTAATGGTGTAATACTGTAAGTCACTTGTCTGATTTTAGATTGTCACTTATTTTTCATAAGCTGAAATGACAACTTTAAAAAGATGCTGTCCTCCTTTCTGTTTTCTTCGCTTGGTATCCTCATCTCCCTCGAGTTTTAAGTAGAAGCAATAATATCCTTCACTTTGACCTGCTCATACCACATACATCTTATGAGTCATTAAGTCATACTGATTCTGCTTATCGGATGTTTTTAATACTTCACCCTCATACACCAGGCTCAGGTGGGAGACTCATTCATTTTCCAAGCTGGAGTTGGCAAACTTTTTTGTAAAGGTCCAGATAGTAAGTGTAAGACCCATTCTTAGTTTACAGGATATCACCAGTTGCCTATAGTTTGCTGACCTCTGGCCGAGGCTGATACCTTATCCTCTTCATCTTTCACATTGTTAGAATGATATCTCTATAATGTGAACGTGTCACTTCCAGATAAAACCTCTTTCTGTACTCCTGTTAATTAAATTTTTGTACTTAAGGCATTTATATAGCATGTTTAGGATTTTTTTTTCTCATTGAGTTTAGTGGTACATTTTAGGTGTATGGTACAGTTAAATTCATCATTGGGAAAAGTGAAATCTTCCTAGAAATCTTCCAATGCCAAGTGAGCATTCTATATATTACCTCTACTGTAGTGGTAGAATAGTCTTAAAACTGTTTGTTTCACTTGGTTATTTAAATTTAACAACAGAGCACTGGTTAGCCACCATACTGTGCCGTAGCACCTGTAGAAGGGTGCTGTCGACTTGATGCTAAACGCCTCACCGTGTGTTCCTGCCATGCTGACCCTCTCACCTTTTGTCCTCCTCTGCCTTACCCTGCCATTGCCATGCTCTTCCTTTAACAGCGCAGGCTCCACTGTTGATTCAAGGCCTGTCTCAATAACCTGACTAAAACTTCTCTAGGCAATAGAGAATATTTAGATATAATTCACATGTTATAAATTTACTCCTTAATGGGCATACTTTAACGGGTTTTAGCATATTCAGAGTTGGAGTTTGTCACCATTATCTTACTTCAGACATTTTCGTTACCCCCAAATAAACCCATTAGCAGTCACTCCCCTTTCATCTAACTTCCTCAGCACCTGGCAGCTATTATTCTACCTTTTGTCTTTATGGATCACACACTTCTAGGTGTTCGAATAAATGGAATTGTGCCTATGTGCTGTTTTGTAATGGCTTTTTTTACTTTACATACTGTTTTAACTAGCTTCTTATACTTTACATAATATTTTTAAGGTTCATTTATCTTGTAACAGTATTAGAAGTTCCTTTTCATAGCTAAATTATATTCCTTTGTGAGGATGGATAATGCTGCATTTTGTCTGTTCCCTTATTAATGGACATTACTTCCATTTTTGGCTATTATGAATAGTGCTGCCATGAACATTTGTGTATGAGTTTTTGTGTAGACCTATGCTTTCCGTTTTGTCAGATATAGTCTAGGAATAGAATCCCTGGGACCCACAGTAACTCAGAATTTTACTTGAGGAATTGCCTATGTTCCAAAGTGGCTATATCATTTTACTTTCCTACTAGCAAAGTAGAGAGTTCTAGTTTTGCCACATCTTCACCCAATTTTTTATATTGTCTCTTTATAGACAAATTTTGATAAATCACTCCTGTACTAAGCCATAGTATATTCTATTACTATTTAACAATGATTATGTTGGAATATTGTTTTTCTGTTCACCCATTTGACTTTAAGCTCCTAGGTTTTAGATGTCTTTTATCTGGACACACAGAAAATCTAGCATACTATGTGATATTTCATAGGTCACTTAATAAATGAACTAAGGTTTAATTACTATATATATGCAACTATTCAGTGATAGTAATTTATTTTTATTGTTAAAATTTTTTATTAGCACGTGCTTGCAATACATAGTCATTTTAACTTTAGACATACGTAATTGTTGTTTAAAGGAAGAAAACTAACAGCCGGGTATGGTGGCGCACACCTGTAAGCCCAGCACTTGGGAGGCTGAGACAGGAGGATTGATGTGAGTTCGAGACCAGCCTGGGCTACATAGTGAGTAGGTCAGTCTCAACTACGTAGTGAGACCCTGTCTCAAAAAATAAAGGAAGAAAACTTATTTGACGCTAGTGGTTAGAATTGGCATTCTGAATTGGGGCAAAAGATTTCAGCTTTTGTTTTCTGTGATA